TACTAGCTAGACGACCCAACCGGGGTCACATAGGAGGGGGGGGTTGGACCCCCTCCTGCGGTTCCTGCCTGAGATATTTTTATCGCGAGAGGGGTACAGCAATCCCTTCCCTCGCGACTGATGAAGTCGATCAAGTTTACTAACAACGAGCTTTGCAGCGCGTCGTTTCCAACGGAAACCAGGATTTAAGTAGCAAGAAAAACTCACACTGTCGGGGGGCGAACCCACGACCTGGCCCTTAGGCTGCGAGACTACCCACTAGACCACCGGGGCGACCGGTACCATGTAGGGGAGCAAAAAGACGAATCCATGCACCTAGGAACTTCGCGAACGCTATGGTAGCCAGCTCACCCCGGCGCAGAAGTTGGCCGAGCTAGAGAACGTAGAGAGGATGAGTCGGCTGCTATGGCCGTTCTCTGATGATACTGGTAGAAGTTGAATGCCCTGGTCTAACGAGTTGACTAATTCCTCGCCATCTCGAGCTGCTGTGGATGTCGCAGGCAAAGCTGATACGAGTAACACCGCAAGTAACGGTCGCATGGGCGCCACGTGCTTATCGCTATTCACGTGTGGAAAATTGCTGCACACTACTGTGCATGACCGGGAGCTGTGTTTAAACCACGCAGAAGCCGTGCCATCGATTGGCGGTCGTCGAAGCCAGGTACCGTAGATCATATACAGTGGGGGCTACGGTTTAAGAGAGGGGTGTGCATCACCCAGAAGACCTCTCTTAATCACGACCTTCTCTTAAACCGATTAGTCCATATGTCTTTTGACAGGGTCTAACATGATGGAAGTGATGAAAAATATATTTCTTTTGTGTTCCACAATATTTTCTTGCGTTATAGGGCCCTCACCAAGCGTGATCCCTCATTCTTGTTGTGTACAAAGCACAACCGATGCAATATTACGTGGTCTCCAAGGTGTACTCCGACCTCATCTCGACAAACAGCAGTGCATATCATAGGATAACTGCCAACAGAACACAGAGACGTGAGCATCACACACACAAAACACTCAAGACCAGTGACTCAAGCACCTACAGCAGTACATGTAGTACACCCTACCCTTGAAAAAAAAAAAACAGACATCCCATGAACATTGCCTGTGGGCAGCTTCTGCAACTTTACATGAAGTCTGCCATGCATGTTTGCTTCGTTTTCTTTGACCCAGCCTCGCTCATCCAGGCTAACTTTGCCTTGCGAAGAGGGTAAGCTACCCCGGCCATGCTGCACCTCTCTGCTATTTCTTCGAGGTCTCCGAACTGCCTAGATACGTCAGCGTACGGTGGCGGACGAGGAGAGACCAGGGGCTACGTACACTGTCCCTCGTCTCCCGCCGAAGAGTCGGCCTCGTCGTCGTCCGAGTCTATGTTCAGTTGGTCCATGTTCAGGTGGGCAAGCGACTCCTCACAAAAAACGTCCTTCAGATCTGCAATAATCGCCTCCGCTACACCCTCTTTTTCCTCTACACGCAACCATGTCTGCACGGCTTCCATGGAAGCCCGGGTTGGCGTTGCGCCAGGTGCCAACCCCAGACCCATAAGCGCCTGGCCAAGGCCTTCATCGACAGTTGCCTTCTTCGCCTCAAGAGAAAGACGCTGCACCAAGTCCGTCAACTCGTCGAGACTCTCCTTCTTGTTGCGGATATTTTTTCCCACGTCCTGGTCGAGGTCCAAGTGCACCGCAGGAGGAAGTATGTCACATTTCCTCCAGCACCTTGGAAACGATGAATAGTCAAAGTACGCGGGAAGGAGAGAGAAACGTGCACGGCGAGAAAAGAAAAAAACAGAACGGGCCGAACGCAAAAAAAAGCAATTTGTCATTTTTTCAATTCAAACAAAACTTGCAAGATGATGGCGTCAGTTAACAATTTCGTCAACGTGCAACATACGTGGTAAGGGTATGTGTCTAGAGGGGGGAAAATATACAGCAGCTATTGAATAATGTCGTGAACACCACCACACGGACACACCTCTTGATTGTCTCCGGCAAAACCTCCTCCCACGCCTCGAGGCCTAGCTCAGCTGCGTCCAGGATGTGAGGCTGCGCTCCTTTCGCGAGCCCCATGCAGCCCCGAATCACCTTGCGTTCCTTCGCCTGCTCCCGTAGCTGCGCCGCCGACGTCATCGTGTCGACGCGAATCCCCAGCAGCTTCGTCCTGTACCGCACTTTCCAGGCTGCGATGATCCCGGCATCCATGGGCTGGTGCTTGCTCGTGCAGTTGGGTGGCAGCTCAAGAATCTTCACCTGCTCCTTGGGGTCTACGAGGTCGGCGTGGCTGCTGTGGTTGTCCATGATGAGAAGAACCTTCTCGCTGGTGAAGGAGCGCACGTGTGGCAGGAACACTTGCGACCACCACAGCTTGAACACTCGCGCGTCCGATCACGCGTTCTTCTGGCTGAAGTACTTGATGGGTGAGCCCCGGATCTTGAAGCACCGGGGCTCCTTGGCTGTGCCGATAAAAGACAGCGGCACCTTACGCCCGCTGGCGCTCGTAGCCATGTAGGCGGTGACTTGATCCTTCGCTCTCATACCTTTCACGCCTCGCACGGTCTTCTTGAGCTCTGATGGTGCGAGGTATGTAGCCTTGGGCATGATCCTGTAGCACAGCCCGGTTTCGTCGGCGTTGTAGACGCATTCTGGGGCATACTGAGCGCACGTCTCGCGGACAACTCTGGGGCGATCGGCGATGGCTTCGTCGTTGACGCTGCCTGCTTCCCCGTGAAGTGTACGGGAGTGCAGGTTGTTGGGCTTGACAAACTTCTTTACCCCTTTACCCACCCCTCGGACGCGTTGAAGCCGCTGTAGTGCACACGCTCGGCGTCCGTAGATGCTGCGGGCTCGAGAGCACGACGAGCTTTGCGCCCGAATGCCTGGATCGCGTCCCGGTGGACAGGCATTCTCAGTGCCCTCGCCTGCACCAACATTTCCATGACTGCTTGCTCCACCTGGAGAAGAAAAGAGGACATATATTATTCACAGATTTAGCAGCTGTAGTGTGTGCACTGCTGTTACTGCTCTGCTGTATATCATTTCATCCTACAGCAAATACTGCACGGCATGATACAGCGTACCTACGCCACACTAGCCGGTTGTTGAACAAAAACGGCCACAAACATACTCGGAATTAAACTACTGCTGCTGCTGGGTACAGCAGTAATGTACACAATAACTGTAAATAAACTGCTGTACACGACCCCTGCTTGCACAAGAAAAATTCAAAATTCAAAAACAAAAGCAAAATACACTCGGAATTACTGCTGTACCCTGCTGTGTACTGCTATACAGCAAACATAGCTGAGCACCCACCTTCGCAAACTCAGCCCCCTTCGTAGACTTGGCGCCGGGCATGGAGACTGCTGCCTGTTGTCTGATGTCTGCTTCCTTAGCTCTCCACCCGTGCAAGGTGCTCACCCCGATCCCCATATCCTTGGCGATTGCTACGCCGCTCATGCTCTTCAGAAGGTCTAGCGCCCGAACCTTGTCTTCGAGAGTCAGTCGTTTGCGGTTTTCGGCGCCACGAACTTTCCTACGTGCGGTGTTGCCAACGGGTTTCAAGCTGCCCAGTGCACCCGCTCGGTTCTTCTTACCCGTTGCCCGCCCGTCCGGGCAGGGGCGCTTCGAAGATGCAGCCCCAGCAGTCGAGTCTGTGCTTGATTCCTTGCGGTTGCTCGAGTTGACCCATCCGTGGCAAACACGGTGCATCTCGTTGTCGCCAAGCGGGTCATGCACACCGCACAGTCCATGAAGGTAGCCTCCGCAGACACGGCATGGATGGTTCGTAAACAGTGGGGGGCGGGTGTGTGGTCCGGCGTTGCCAGGCAGCGGGAACCCGCGGCGCAAGGCATCCGTGGGAGCTGTGTTTCTCGCTAGCCATGATGGCCTACTGCTGTACAGCTGCTTGAGCTGCTGCAGTGGGGGGCAGCTGGTGGGCTATAGGGGGTGGGGGGTTGGGGGGCAGGTTCGGTTTAAGAGAGGTTTAGGAGAGGTTTAAGAGATTCGGGGTTCGGTTTAAGAGAGGGGTGTGTCTAGCAATTTTGACCTCTCTTGAATCGGCAATTCTCTTAAACTGAGCTCTCTTAGACCGTAGCCCCGACTGTACCGCCAAGCTTGTCGCAGGTCATACGACAATACCAATACTTATACACCGGTCGCCGCGGTGGTCTAGTGGGTAGCCTCGCAGCCTGCTAAGGGCCAGGTCATGGGTTGGAGTCCCGACAGAGTGAGTTTTTTCTCGCTTATCAAATCCTGGTCTCCGTTGGAAGCGACGCGCTGCAAAGCTCGTTGTTAGTAAACTTGATCGACTTCATCAGTCGCGAGAGAAGGGATTGCTGTACCCTTCTCGCGATAAAAATATCTAAGGCAGGAGCCGCAGGAGGGGGTCCAACCCCCCCCTCCTATGTGACCCCGGTTGGGTCGTTTAGCTGGTAGAATTGGAGGATAGGGGCCAGAGGGGCAGACGACAGAGTCCAATGATGGGAGAAAAAAAACAAAAACAACTACTGCTGTTGTACATTTAGGACCCAAGGGCCCCATGGGTGTTGTCTGACACAACAGCAGCAGCACTGCTGAACACCTACAAACTGCAAACCGTGACATGGGGGAAGTCTAGTTCGGTTAGTTCTCTCACCGCACCCTTCCATTGGAAACGCCACCCATCGACAACGCTAGCCCCCCAGCAGCTGCCTGTGTTCCTGGTGATGTCCAAAGGACTCTTCTTGTCAGTGGCGACGGGACGAAAGAGAGGACCGGCAGAGAGCACAGCATGCAGCAGAGGATGAAGGTATACATGGCCTCTCGCAACATTGTTCCCACTTCACCGCCAATGCTAGGCACCAGACACCGGCAGCTGGGAACTAATGTACAGGCAGCGTCAATACAGCAAGTACGCAAGGACGCACAGTGCGCAGGGCTCACGGCAGAGTGTGCAGTGCATGAACGATCTCTGAGAACTGAGACTGAGGGCGCGGGACTGTCGAAATCACGGAGTTAACGGTGGTTCTCGAGGCGCACATAGCGTTGCTGGACAAATTTAACGATCCTCTCTCCACATGGCACACTCTGCTGTTGTTCCGGACGGATGTGTGAGCGTAGAGCGATGAGAGTATCAGTCTTTGCGACGGCGCTGTGCGGTTTATTATTCTCTCCATCGGCTCTTTCGTTCATCCCAGGGGGATCTGTTCCTGCCGCCATGTCCGTCAGGAATCCGATGTGAGCTCACCTACACGTGGGGCGTGGGAGTCCTGAGTCTCGGCATCCCGGTGTTCGGTTGTCTGTGCCGATAGTGTCGGAGTAAAGGGTCGGTCGGTTGGGCACAATACTAATCTCGTTCGTCGAAAGGGTCTCTCCTTTGTCTCCACGTGCACCTTCGACGGAGAGAGCGAACTGCTGCATGTTGCATAAGATACCACACCCCCCAGCACCGATTTTTTTCTCTCGATTGCTCCAACGAAGAGGATTCCTAAAACGGCAAGATCTCGACGAGACGGTTCGAATAACGGCACCATCTGCACAGCAGTCGCGATTTTTGCTGCAGACGAAATCGGTACGGTGCCACTTCCATCTAAAATGCAACCTGTAGCGGCACGGAGTTGGAGCCCACCCGGCAAGGTCGGGTCGAGGGTCAGTGTCGTACGTTGTCACCGTCGAGTAAGACAGCATGTAGTGTAACATCCACGCGTTCCTCGAACAAAACTTGTGACTATTCGTAGTGGACCCGGGCGAACATCTCTTCGCTGTCTGTCTTTTTGTAGAGAAATCATGCATACATCCAATCAGAGAGAGACTAACCATTCGCGACAATACCCCAATCGATGGGATGAGTCGAGGTCTCTAAGGTTGAGGAAGCGTCTTGATTAGTCAGCTACACTCGCCGTTTTCACGTAAACACACGGTGATGTTCCCTCGAAGCCACTATATAGGTCATACCACCAAGCACGCCGGCTCTGCAAAAACCAACGATTCTATCTCTCCTTGATGATTCACGGGGAAAGAGGTGCCCAAGTGTCCACTGAACTAGAGAAAAGGTCAGACGGCACCTTTTTGATAAATGAGACGGCAGAAAAAACTACAACCTCCATCGGGGCGCAGACATTCTGTGCAACGCTGGGAGGTTATGAGCCCCCCTCCGCCCCACCTTACGCCGATTGCGTACGCGTTGCGCAGGCCCAGGTGGGGTGAAAGAGTCATCACTCAAAGGGAACAGCCACGGGCCCATGGCCGAGTGAAGTCAACCTGTCCACGAGGGGGTGGTTTCGTCCGCTGTGCTAGATTTGTCCTCCGCCAAACCCGACTAGTAAACATGACGACGTTTCCATTTCGTCGTCGATCTTCCCAACAGCAGTAGGTCCCCGTCGAAGAGCGCTCTTATTATGACCTGTTCTTTTGTGTTTTTCGTCTCTGCATGTCTCGGGCTACATGCTCCTCTCCGGTAGACTTCTGCGCTCATGCGTTTCTCCCAGAAACTGTTCTCCTGCACCTCTTTTGATCCGTCCATGAAACAGGACGCGTCTCTCGGCCTTATTACCGCCTGTCATCGACCTCGCGCCTCGAATATCTACCACCACTACCCCGCGCCCGTGGCCACGAGCAGGGAACAAGGACGTTCTATGAAACGGAGTATGATAGTGCTTTAATCCTCCTAGTACTGGACGCCCAACTGGGGACGCTTTGGGGACACAGCTTTCAACATGTCTATTTACCGCACCGTAATCGCCCTAGGGCCCGCTGTGTGAAACGCACGTGAGAACCGTTGCTCTATCATGCTTGGGTGAGGTGATACGCTGTGTGATATGCTGCGTGATGCCTCTCCTAGGTCTTTGACTTGCTTCACACAACCTCCCAAGCCGGGTGTTCCCTAGGTCGTAAACGTTAAGCAGCCTGGTGCTGGAAAAAAATGCTGACTTGGCTTCAGCATGAAAAGTGTCCCCATGCGTTTTGGGGACACTTTCCATTCTAAAGCCAAGTCACCCTTTTGTCTCGGCACTTTTCGATTTCTTTGGAGGGCCTGTACAAAAGCCCCTCGGCCAATGACAAAACGTTTTGCGACATTGTTTTTGCGGAGGGACTACGTACTTGGAGGGTTAACGTAGGAAATAATTTGTTTCGCCGGGAATGGGGGAGCATGTCACTAAAAACCTCGCACATTCATTTCGTGTACGTGCCGAACTTGCTTGCGGGCCAAACAATGCAGCTGGAGGTCTCATTCCCAGTATTCAGGCATGACATCCGGAGTTGGTTCCGAGCGAAAGCAGTACGGACAGCAGACCGCCGCCGCTGCGACGGATCTAGAGGAAGGCCTGGGTGCCCGTAGCAGGACCAGCAGCGGCAGCAGTAGCAGCAGCACCTCGCGACGGAGGTGGCGAGGGGGAGTGAGAGTAGAGCGGGGAAGCCTCCAGCGCCGGCTCGTCAGCACCGCTCTTCGCCAGCAGGCGGGCTGGGCCGCCCGCGCGAAGGGCCTCCTGGGCGGCGTGGGGGCCCTGTTTTGCTCGCCGCGGACCGACGGTGACAACAGCGGCGGCAGCGACGAGGAACAGGCCATCGAGGAAGCCTTCGAGCGAAAGCTCCAGGAGGCGATAGCCGTCGGAGCGGCAGCGGAGGAGGCAGAAGGAGGCGTTTTAGGCGGCGCCGGTGCGAGCGGGAGAGACGGCGGCGCCGGTGTCGTTGACATGACCGCTGCCGGGAGGGGGGGTGCGGTCGACGTGCCGCCGAATATCAGCTGGATCGCGCTGGCGGCGGTGGCGGCGACTCAGCTGGCGTTTGTCGGTCTCTTCGTCTGGGTAGCGTCGGCGGCGATGCGTGAGTAGCGTAAGAGCTGTGCGAGTCCGTTGGCGACATTCATGCTTGTTGTCATCAGTTGAGCGTGTTTCGCACCGAACGGTGAAACCGCCAGCTAGCTGTTCTGGACATCTTCCCCTGCTCGTGGTTCATGATAGAAGGCCACGCCTGTGTGCGTATGTTCTCGCCCGTCGTCATCCTCTCCTATCTTTGGTACGGTCCCACACAAGGGTGCAGCCAGACACAGTGATACTAACGCCGTGCCTCCTCCCAAGCCTCTGGTGCCTCCCCAATACCAAACAGGTGTTGGCGTTGCCTTTCGACGCGGTGCCGTTATTTCGCGCCATTCCCGCGATATTGCGGAACCCCCGCACTACTCTCGTCGACTTGGGGAACAAAAAATCGACTTCACAATTGCACCATCGCCAAACCCAAGCCAACTTTGCCGCATCGAGACCCCCTCAATATTCCGGAACGCACTACTGCGGGGCCCCTGGTGTTTCTTCGTGTGTGTATGCAGGCGAGCAGGTAGTGTCGGCCTGTATGGTGAGCCCCGCCGCCACCGCTTTGGGGGTGGCCGGCATGGTGCCGTTGCTCGGGTACGGACTGCTGCTAGACAGGTGGACAGAGTGGGAGTGGGTGAGGAAGATCGACGAGGCAACCTCCGAGGTCGCGCTTCAGCTGTTCGGCAGCAAGAGACAAGTGAGTGTTTTTTTTGTCTGCTGTGCGTGTTTTTGTCGTTTTTGGGGGAGCGGATCGGCGAAGCGGGGGGGGAGGGGGGGGGGGGGGGGGGGGGTACTCATAGTCGTGCATGTCGTAGTCGTTAGACCATTGACCTCGCATCCCTACAAAGCCGGGACG